AGAAACTTGAAAATACCTTGCTCACGTGGGCTCGATTCGTCATTCTTCTTTGATAGCACCAGATGAAGAAGAATGTGGAATCTTGCTCAAACAAAAGGAAAATAAATATTTCGAGTCTTGGCTTTCATGCAGAATGTTTCCCTGTCTAATAGGTTGAAGATCTTCTCAGATTGAAATGGGATTAAAAATCGCAATCAGCTTATCAATTCTTCATTAAAAATTACGAACATATGGATTGTATCGATTAGAAAGTTAGATATACTTTTAATTATTGTAAACAATTTATTTATTTTTTTTTTAGAAAAATGCTTTCTTGCAGAACTTTATGAACATTCAATGATAGGTGCCATACTGTTTCTTAAAATTAAGTTATCTACATTATCAGTGAACGTTCAAAATTAGATGATTAAACTTACTTGGTTGAATGAGGCTTAGTGTTTTGTCTGAAGCCAGCAGCTTTTCTTTGAATCATAACAAATGTATTCTATTCCTGCTTTATGAAGCTTTGTAAATTATCAAGGAAGCATTCAATTTTGTTTTTGTTTTTGTACCATCTAATATCTGCCATCTCCGAGGATAACGATTAGCCTTTTTTCCTTCTTATATTTTTGATTTATATAAAAATACTCATCTAAACATAGGTTTAATTTTCTGTAATTAAGGATGCAAGATATATACCATTGTAAAATAAACAAGTAATGATGCCACATGATAATATTGCGGTATCTTACTTAGACATTTTGCATTATGATGTACACTTCATGCTTATTACTATCAACTTCCTGTCCTGTAATCACGATATGGAAAATATTTCTTCCTCTTATATTTTCCAATTGAAAACACATCGAAATTATGTATTGACACTTGTGTGAAGTATGCACATAATTGTGGAACAAGTGCGTTTGAAAGAACAAATATAGAATAACGAACTTGTAACCAACGCTTGATTTTTTCGAATCCAGATTATCAAAAATATGTGATCAACCACTACGATTTACTCTATGAATGTATTTCTTCCTCGTGAAGTAGCATAATTAACCATACTCATATACATGTAATATATAATAACATAATAATAATGAATAAATTTTCTGAAACTATATTATGTTGAAATCAACTTTGTCAGAAAATCATTTTCACAATGAATTGAGCATGTTGAGAAAGATAGAACCACGTATAACATTTCAAACAAAGACCAGTAACTTCCCTCAAATTGAATTTGCTATGCTGTGCATTATGTAAGTAAAAATGAATTCAATGTTACAATTCTGTTTAAAACAAATCATCAGTATAGGATAGTATTGTATGATATATGTCAGAGAATTTATGAATTAAAATAAATTTATTTAAATGGAAGAACATCCCTTTGTTACTGCTTTTGTCCCTTTATGAACGATGATGACAACGGGTAATCAAGATGGATATATTCCACTATTTATTTCTATCTTCAAATTCAGTATCAAACATGAATAAAGTATTTCAGAAAATAAAACGTGGATTGTTATTGTAGATAACTTACAATTGAATTCAAAGGGTTTTTTTTTTTTTTTAAATTTTGCGAATGACATAGCATTATTTACTTAATCATAAACCATTTACACAAAGTCGCATTCTGAAATGTTTTTTAGATTTTATCGCTCCGAAAGAGTGCAAAGCAGTGATTAACACATGATTAACACATGTTACATCAATTCTTTTAAACTGGTTCTTTAACTATACGACATGTCTGTATGTATTACTAGCATTTAACATATTTCAACAATTATCATTTTTTAAATAGTCCGGAGTTTTGTTTGTTTTTTTTTGTTTTTGTTTTTTGTTGTGTTTTTTTTTTTTTTTTTTTTGTTTTGTTTTGTTTTTTTGTTTTTGTTTTTTTTTGGGTATATTTCTGTCTTTGATTGATATAAGAAATATGGTTTATCTTTGTTACAAATCACTTATTAGAAATCCTTATTACTTTTAACAGGTATATTGATATAATTATACAAATATACGTCTTAAGCTTTGGTTTGACGAAAATAGAAACGGGACCTCCCGACCACATATCCAGCGACATACAGTGTACCACTAGGCTGCTGCAACGATTCATTCGTTTTAAACGCACTATTTGTTTGGTTTGTTTGTGTGGAAGGGGGGTATGGAGGCGTCCAAATGATGGGATGAATCTGTACATTTGTGAGAGACATTTCAAAGGCTGTGGAGTATATAGAACCACTAAGGAATAGGAAGGAAAACAAAAGTACACCTTTTTAAAGGCTATGACCGGTGAATTGTATGGATGCGAAACATGGAAGGTCACCAAAAATAGACGAAAAACATCTAACGCATTCCAGATGAAGTGCCTAAGAATATTAAGAATAAGATGTCAACAACATATAAAAAATGCAATAATGGAAATAGTAGAAATAGATAACATCAGCTTTGAAGTACTCAGATGGATACATACTAAGAGAAGAAAAAAAAACGACTGAAAGATAGCCTTGGAATGGCAGCCAGAGGGCAAACGAGCAAGAGGACGATCAAAGACCATCTGGTGAAGAACAGTCGAAAAAGAAAATGTAGCTGGTTGGCCAAGCTTAAATGCCACTAAAACAGCAGCTAGGGATAGAAATAAATAAATTTCAGGCTGACTGGTATGTTACTTTAATATAGTGTAAAAGGTGAAGATAACAAACAGTGATCAACTTAATAAATCCAGTAAATAAAATGAAATGTGAACAAGGCAAAAACACGGCCCCCGGAAACACCAGAGGTGGGATTAGGTGCCTAGGAAGAGTAAGCATCCCCTGTCGACTGGTAGCACCCGCCATCAGCCCTGTGTATTGATCCGGTAGACGGAGTACTCCGTGGTCAAAATTAGTATAAAACAATGACCTTATAAATAACATGAAACATGTCAGACAAACTACGACCCAACGATAGGTACTATTAATAAACAAGTCCATTATAATCTAACGACCGTAGAATTTGCGAAAAGCTTACTTTAAACAGAACTGTTGAATCCTATCAACATCAACTTATTTGTCAGTAGCTTGCTTAGGTTTAAAAGTTGAACATACTCAGAGCATACACTTGCTTATCGAATCAGTTGGTAGAAATAAACTCCATATTCAGGTGATATTTGGAATACTGCTACATAATTGAGGGAAGTTTCGCGATGAAAAACCTGAAGTCATACCGTTTGTAGTACAGTCTAGTTATTAGTTGGCCATTATCGTCTATAGTCAGTAAAACATCCAAATGAAACAGATGTTGCAGACTATGTGGTATCTTTTATTTCGAGCCCATTGCGATATATCTAGTCGAATATGAATGAAAATAACCAATTTTAATTGATAAAATGTTGTCGATATGTTTAAATATTGAAGGCCACAGCAAAAACCTAGTACATGTACATTGGACAAAAAAGGAAAATCGCATGCATGAGTAACTCTTCTCAGCAAAACCTGTATACGTAAACAGTAGCAAACAAAATTACAAAACCTGTATTCTTGCACAGTTTAACCGGTGTAAATGTTGTATAAAGACCTAAAAATAACAAAAAAATAACTTAACCCTTGTGTAGAAATGGTTACCTTCCTAAAAGAAACTATCTGTACAACAAGCATGGTAGTAAAGTATGTCAACGTGGACCTCGGCTATATGGTCAGCAATGCAGAGGTTTAAATACTCCTAACACAATGGGCAGTGACTGATCAATGCCTGCATTTTCCAAATTTTGGGTTCACTACAAGTACAAACATTAAGAGGCCCCGTAAATGAAAATATGTAATCATGAACTTTAATCAAACACTTATTAATATTTAATATTGATTGTGACAGTCAGGTTGGTTGTATATAATTAGGAATTTACTTACAAGGGTACGTATACGTATCTAAAGAAAAAAAATCAGATTTGCATATATAAATTAAAAAAATAGTGTAAAATTTGATCTTCACCTACATATGATAAGAAATAATGAGGAAATATTATGTTAACGAAGGGGAAATTACATTGTTTTCTGTTTTCATTGTTTTCCTTTTATTAAATTTATTGAGAGGTTTCCTTCTCTTTTATACCATTATAAATCAGTCACTACTAGTGCTGGTATGGGAAAGTCGTGTGGAGTTGACAAATTCATTTTAGCGTAAGTGAATTTCCAGCTGCTTCCAAAGGTTAACGTTAGTCACTCCCTATACACATAGGTAATATAAGATTGATATTTTTTTTTATTGATATGTTCCCATATCTTTCAACATTTCGAATATATATATATATATATATATATATATATATATATATATATATATATATATATATATATATATATATATATATATATATTACCCAGTTTAAAAGAAGAGGTAGTAATGTGTCTCTCAGTCATTTGATCTTTAAACTTACATCTAGTATTACAATAATAACTTCAACTTCCTAGATACGGTAGAAGTACTTATTTCGTCAATTGCAATTGAGATGTACATAGGCAATCCAAAATATCTGCGTAATTTTCTGTCCCCATGGATTGAACAGAAATTGTGATTCCGCGGAATTATGACCCCATGATATAAACTACGTTTACAATATTTTACTCTGCATAAAATCTTGGCGAATAAAGTCAACGTAGACATATTGACTTATAACATTTAAATAATTTTCTCAAATCAATTCTACTAATTTAAGAAATACTAGTATTACTTTCAGTGCACAAATATAAGTTTCTAACATATAAAGTATACGTTTTCTTGCACTTGCTATTGATATACATAAAATCATCTGTCAATGGTGTACCCCATTTCCTGCATCTGCTAATTAAGAGTGTTAGATACAAATTAATGCTCACTCCTCCATGGCACGTGATCCTACCTCTGATGTTTTTTGGGGTCCGTGTTTGCTCTGCTCCCGATCTGTATTGTTTTAATGGGCTTTGAGCTTGAAAACTGTTCGTTATTTCCGTTATGTAATAATAACACACTTGTTTGTCAATAAATGGTCCCTTGAAAAAAAATAAAGAGAACTTTTGATAACTTAGAACAAATTCTATGTGATGTAAAATAAATTGCCTTAAAATAACACACATTCGACATTTCCACAGTATATCTCGAAGATATTGAGTTTTGATGTCCTGCATGCACAATTTATATATACATGTAATCAAAAATGATGATAAAACAGTTAAATGAGAGATTCATCTCTCACTAACAACGTTTATTGTCTTCAGTTCCGAAATGGTCCGAGTAACCTCAGGGGAATGTAACTGGAATAATGTTGTGAGGGTCTTCAGATTGTCTCTGTTCCCACCTCTGACTGGTGGCACAGAATCGCCAGAGAAATCCGAGCTTATGTACGTGTTCCTGTCTTTAGAATTGATTGTCGTGTAGGTGCATGACCGACCAGTGGAAAACGACGAAATGGATTCTCTGATGTTAGAGTATATGTCCTCTTTTGACCCTTTGGACATCTTTTCCGGTATAGTGTTGGAGTATTCTTTCCTTGATTTGCTCAACTTCTCCAGTACATTGTAGGGTCTTTGCTCAATATCACTTTGTCTCCGGCGTATTTTTTGTCTGAATTATAATAAGAAAACAGGATGATTCGTTCTCAGTAACATATACATGTTTCTGTGCAACAATGGTGGAATTTGGATCAAAAATAAATATATTAGTATTACAAGCGTCGTATTACTTTCTTTTGAAGAATTTTTTTAGGTCAATAAGACGACATTATATATATAAAATATGTATATTTACTTTTAACTTCTAATGAGATAATGTTAAGGTATAGTGATAGAAAAAAATATTACAGTAAATTGAATACTTTTTCTTCCAAGCGCGGTAGAAGAACAGTGTGAAGACAAAATTAGCAATCACCAACAGGGATACACACAATGTCGTTATCATCCCAACACCTAAAAAGTTAAAACAGGTACTTAGTTTTGAAGTTTAAATTGGAAGGATTGCATTGTGTATATCTGCATGGTGACTCACCAAATCTAGATGGTGATACAAATTCTACAGTGCCAACATCATGACGGTTATGTCTTCTTTTGTGATCACTTGTGTAGTAGAGGTTCTTTGCAGAAGTAAGTTCTAAAGAATAAATTTCTAGAGTATAGCAGTATGTTTATTGACAAGTTGTCATAAGAATGCATCTTAACGATTCCCAGTATGTAATACACATATCAATAAAATATTCGTTTTCATTTTTAAATTTGGTTATATTGGTGGAAACTTATATTTTGTTTTTAAAGTTCAAATTGTGCACATATGTAGAATTTCATACTCTATTTTTCAAAGTCAAAAACCACCTATTGGCGTATTTATTTTGTGCTATTTAATAAAGGTCTGTTATTCACTTCATAAACAATTAATGAGAATGATTGGATTCTTTCCAATGATTTTGGATTTCTTTTGGTGGATGTTTATACTCCTTAATAAAATTTTTCAAATAAAATATGATTAAATCTTGTATATTGCCCCCCTCCCGTGGTGCAGTGGTTAGAACTTTTGCTCTAGAGTCGCGGTGTGAGGAGTTGATTCTTGCGCCGTGGGTTCGAATCCCACAGCGAGAGGTGGAGACCGGTCTTTCGGATGAGACCGAGGTCCCTTGTCGCAATAGGTGCTGGCACGAAAGAAAAATCCTTCACTGCTAAAAGGCCGTAAGAGCCGAGTACAGGTCTAAATTAGCAGCCTTCCACCGGCAAGTACAGTTGTCTGAATATAAGTGGAAAATTTTTGAAGAGACGTTCAACAAACATAGAAACAAACGTACAAAGTTGTGTATCCTGAAATACTTTTCACAAATGAACAATTTTACAAATTCTTGGAGAATATAAAGCTTCAAGTGCTTATATAGTCGAAAAGAAAATTGTTATTAGTTCCACATAAATAAATCAAATATACACATATGGAATGTGAGTACGTACAAATTAATAAAGTTCGAATTTTGGTGAGGTTTCATTATAGTTTCAAGCGAATTTTCTATTTTTTGAGCTTTTCATTTCTGAGATACGTACCAAGTTCAGTGGATGTAGAAGGAGTTTCACTTGAGGCTGTTGTATTTGGTTCTGCTTCAGTAGATATCAAATCTAGATCCCCTATGTGGTCAGTTATTTGAGAACGGAAACAAATACCATATTAATACTTGAATTCATGAATTCCGATTACAAATTTAATTTACACATGATATAAATATACATGTATATAAGCAATCATCACAGTATACAGTGTATATTTAAACACATACACGCCCAAACATGGCGACGGGCTGTAAAATTAAATATCGTTAAGATTCATTCATACCACAGTGTAGTATTTCACAGGGTTTTCTATCGAAGATTTTTGCGTCTTTGCAGCTTATCAAGCAGTCCCTGGCCCTATATAAATCATGTTCGTAACAGCAGCTCCATGGGGACCAATGCGAGTATTTGGATCCATCATCTTCTTTAGCATGCAATTCTTAAAGATAGTTAAAAAAAAATACAATTTCTTTTATCAAATTATACGAGGTTTTACTGTATGTTTCAAAATCCTTTTCTCAATTTAAGTGCCGAATTAAAATTGGCAACAATGATTATAAAATGTGTTCATGATACTTACTATTCCAAAGCAACAGCACTAAAAACAGAGATCTCAAGGTATGGATCTCCTCGTGAAAGAAAACAGTATGTGTCCAAAAGAAAAACATTATACGTTCTGGTGTATCTTCTCTTCATTTGCACAAATAGGTTCCAGGAACTATGTGCCAGTAATTTAAGTAGTTATTTATACATAAAAATTTTATTTTCCTAATACACGGAAAATATTTTATTATGGATTATATATACAAAATAGAAATACTGTTAATTACCACACTTTTGTACATATATGTATGAATATACTTCAATTTTAAATGACCATGAAGGTTGCAATGTTATGTATTTTAATAACATTTCCTTTTTAACAACCAAAGACACAATGCCAAACACAAACTACACGGTAGAATACAATTCAAAGCGAGTTTTGTTTGTGTCTTGTGGAGATTTGTAATCAACAAGTAATAGCTTTTTCAAAAAAAAACCTTGCTCGACTAAAGTAATCAATATCTACAGAGCATATAAGCATAATCATTGATAAACGTTTCCGTCCTTGGGGGGGGGGGGGCGGCTTGTTCCGTACATTTTAAAGACTTTGTACGAAACATCATGATTAAGCTTAACTTGTTTGCAACTCATCAAATGAATAAAAACTGGAAATTGAACACAATTTATGGTATTAATGATAATTGCTTTGTCTCAAACAGTAGTAATACAAGTACATACATGTGAATATCATTTGAAAGCTGTTAATATGACATGATATTGAAGATTCTTTACATTGTTTTAAATGCAAATAAACTTTAAGGAAGGAAAACAAACAAAATGAGCGAACAAATGGTATGCCTTTAGCTTCATTTGTATAAAAATCATATCCAGTTTTTGAATTTAGAATTTAGAGTAAAGTTCTTATTATTGAAATTTGTGAAATTATGTCAAAAAAACTTACCTACTGAAAATTTTCCCGGCAAAAATCAACTATTATTAAAAAATGTGGTATTGTTGGGGTTCGAACTTCGAACCCTAGCAATAAAAATCCAGAGTATCATTTCCCTTTGATACTAACACATGTACAACTACGCTACACAACTCTTGACAAGTAGTGGTATTTAAGTAATGTTTGTGAGGAGACCCTTGACTAAATGAACTTGCCTTATAAAACTGTAATTTTAAGGTATAGTGGGTCTTTGCTCCGTGTTTTTGTTAACCAAAAATTGCATATTTTTACGCATACTTTAAGGATAAACTTTCAAAAACATACAGCGAAGACCCACTCATATGGAAAAATTGTGTTATAATTTGAGAAAATGGTCTTTTTGCCCTCTAATGCGTGTCTATGCTATTTCATAGACAAATAATTTTGATCCTTCTGAGATTTTTGCAAATTGTAGATAATTTTTTATAAAGTATGCCTTAATATTAGATGAAATATCACAGAAAATTTTATAATTTGTGAGATTTAAATTTCACCTTCATATTTGTCGCACCATAGGAAATTTGCTAGTCTTGTTCGACCATTTTCTCAGTGTAATTGATTATGCCGGGAAGATGATTCTGTGTGAAGGTTACATGAATTAGTTTCAAATGCAAGGAAGATCAGCTGAAAATATAAGCACTTATAATACTTATGGTAAAAATGTAAAGAAATAAATATCTTTATGGAAACCGAATTGAAGCGTGTACTTTATGCATGATTATTTAACAAATAATTTTTCTCTCTGAATGTTGAAGAGAAATAACAATTTTCAAAAATATAATATAAGAAGTTAGCTAGGACATATATGGATGTTCATGTTAAGTTATCACAATGTTGTGTGTTAGGTGTATAGCAAAATGTTTTATACCAAATGTAACAAATATTTAGATAACTATCACTATAAAAGTGCACACCCTTGTTGAAGAGGATATCTATATTGGAAAAGATACTGTCTGTCAATATATGTCTGAAGACAAAACCTTCATCAATTGTCTTCGAATGAAAAAACTATAAATCAGAGTTGTGCTTTATCTTTAGAGAAATACAATGAAACGGATGTGAATATATATCACTTACAAGAAGTATTCTTCTACTGTATATTACAGTGCAACCTTACTGAAACTGCTCTGAAACAATTGGAGGAAAAAGAAATTTAACTAACACACATACATGAAATGAATAACATATATATGTAATATAACTTAAAGAGAAATGTGTATATATAACTGAATGAATTAAAAAAAAAATACAAGAAATGTTAAGATGCTTGAACAGCTGGTATTTGGATTTATATAAAGTTGTGAGAAAACAAAATAATCTAAATCTCTCATATATTATGTACGGGCTGTAATTAACTAGAAGTGGAAAATAAAAAAAAAACAATAAAAGTATGAGTGTACACAACTGTCAAAGTTTATTTACTTAAATACATAAGATATACAATTGACTTTCTGAAAGTCATCACCTTATTAAATATAATGATAACGAACAGCAATCAAGCTCAAAAGTCCATTGAAACAATACAAATCGGAAACAGAGCAAACACGGACCTCTGAAAACATTAGAGGTGGGATCAGGTGCCATGGAGGAGTAAGTATCCCCTGTCGATCGGTCACACCCACCGTGTGCTTCCTGTCATGATTAGGGAAAACGGGAAAATTCGTAGACAATTCAGTGTGTAAATAATGGCCTAACAATTAGCATGAAAACGTCAGTCAGTATTCGACTTTATGACAGATTGTATATTTGTTGATGAGATCATTGAATCGACCATAGAACTTGCAAAATGATGACTTTAAACGAGACTGTTGATATCCTTGTTTCATCAACTTGTTTATCAATAGCTTGCCTTGTTTTAGAAATTGTTCGTACGTGGAATATGCTCTTGCTTATCGAATCAACTAGGAGATATAAACCCTATATGCAGGTGACAATAAAAATTTCATATTGTAAATTAACAAACTTAGTGCATGCCATTGCATTGTCATTCATTATGTGCATAATAAATTGGGAAATTAAAAAAAAAACCTAAATATTCTTAAGCTCGAAAATCAGGTTAAAATAACAAACTTAATTTAATTTAAATTGACGTTATCACGCCATTCATTATGAAAAAATTCCAAGGAAGGGATGCAAAGATTAACTCGTGACATTAACGCACAATGATTGTGTCCCCCTTTCGTAGAAGACAAATGAAATGAAACGTAGAAAAAAGACAGCTGCATACAATATATATATTTATATAGTAAATACATCAATAGTTTGCTTAAATACATATGATTGTTTCTTTTGCAAACTGTTGTTACACGCAGGTAACACATTCCGATGTAAATCTGCTTGCACAAACTTTCAACCCTTAGTCTCGCAGCATTTAAAAAAGGTGATCCTTAACCTGCCTGACGCTCGTCAGACAAAGTTTTTTGATCAAAGTTTTTCTTTTTTGATTATCTAAAGTTCCTGATAGATTGGAAAATTGAATTATTTTAATTGCTATGGACTATTTTTTGTGTCTTTCAATACTGATGGCTTTTTGAAAGATGAAGAAAGTTATGCTAAAGGACTTTATTTTCTACAAATACCACTTTTACAGTCTTACTTTCTTTTCTTTGGTTTCTTATGGGACGAAAACCAATTATATTAAAATGAATTTTTCCCGTTTCGCGAATTGTGCCACAGGAAATTATAATCACGGTAAATTTTCGAATGACACACTTTATATAAATACAAATATAGTCGATGTATAAAATTATAGCAACTTCCTGAAGGGATCTAAGCTCCACCCTTTATGTGTCATTCATTCTATCCGTTTCCCAAATATCATGGAAACGTAAGAAAGTAGTTCGTGTAAAAACATGAATCTTCATGAACTGTCCTTGGCTTAGACGATTTAGATACATAAAACATTTTACTCCCCAAAATATGAGTTGTCGATTTAAGGCAAGATTAATTAAAATGCTATACATGTATTTGTATTTGTAGAAGAACTAAAGAATGGATCTCAAGATCCAATTTTTTCCACCGCATTTTTAAAGCCCTAAGAAAAAAAAATCTTATTGAGAAGTTTTTTCTTCTTTCGAAATTAAACATAAAAACAACTTTATTTGTATTTTATGGATGATTGTTTCTACCTATTATATGCTAAACAATTTCTACATATCATATTGGCATGTGACAATGCATTTGCAACATGTCAGCAAGTAAGATTACCCAGTATGTTAAAATCATGTTTGTTGACATCATAACATGCTTCATTTTATACCCCTTATACTCATTTTATGTCATGATTATGATTATGATTATTTTACTAATTAGTGGTTACCATATAACATTATTATTATATATTTTCACAATATGGTGTTTGCAACACAAAAATAATAAAATATTTTCAATAAAGATGCCATATATAGCTTATATATCCTACTTACATTAATGGCATATAGTTTTCAATCACAAAAATATTTGTATCTGGAAATTGGATATGTCATCATAACTTTCCTTCTTGTCAACATAGTTTTGTTGCAGGTTGACACAATTACCATATTAAGTAAATTACATATTCGTATAAATATTTTGCATGTTTACATAATTAGCCTAACATAATGATAGTGCATATTAAAATAATGAAGTTGTATGATAAAGCTACATAATGAGTCAAAATAATGTGTTTCTTGTAAGATAATTGTTTCATAAAGCGAAAGACTAATGAAAAGAGTGAGTGTAACGAAGTTTTAACAAACTCCATCTCACTATAAAGCAAGAAAAACTGCAAAATATAAGTGCCGAAAACAAAGGTCGTATTTTCTGTATTGTTGTTACTGTTGGTGTCAAGGTCACGCGACTTTTATTTTAAGCGTAAAACTTAAAAAAAAAAACATTGAGTTGGAGAATGAAAAGGTGAGGAATATGATCTGATAATTCATTTCTTGTGACTTGAGAACATTGTAACTCTTCAACTTTTCTGCACAAGCGTACAATAAGGAGGAAGTGAAATAATATTTTCGTCTTGGGGTAGACAAAATTTTTTTTTCTCCATCAAAGTAGATTTTTTTAAGTTCTGAAACCTAATACTTTCAAGAATTGAGCAAAAATTTTGCACGTGTCATGCAAAAATTCTGCTTTTGTCAATTTTCCTGTTTTTGCGTCAGGGTGTCTC